CCACTGCACTCCAGTCTGGGTGACAGAGTGAGACTCCAACTCAAAAAAAAAAAAATAATCTGATTTTGCTGAGCACAACCTTGTAAGATTCCAAAGGAAGTATGTACTCACTCAACACAACCCCCCTCCCTTACCTAAACGAGGGTATAAGACCCCACGTCTCCTGTTCTGGGGTGCTCGAGCTTGACTTGGATGCATGAAATTCTCGGCCCACTGTGCTAGCCAGCATAATAATGTGCCACTTCCTATAATAGTCTTGGTGTCATGATCTCTTTATTTTTCCTGCTACAAAGGGATCCTCCCAACTCAGTCTCCTGAGTAGCTAGGATTACAGGCACACACCACCACACCTGGCTAGTTGTTCAATTTTTTTGTAGAGACACAACTTCACTATGTTGCCCAGGCTGATCGCAAAACCCTGGGCTCAAGCAATCCTTCCACCTTGCCTCTCAAAGTGTTGGGATTACAAGTGTGAGCCACTGCACCTGGTCCTGGACTCTGATTTTCATTACTATAATCATTGCTGCCATCATCAGAACTACCACCTGTTGAGTGCCTCTTATATACCAAGCACAGTATAACTCACTTTATGCTCTCACAACCTATGAGTATGAATTAGCCTCAGAGAAGTCAAGAGAACCAACCAAGGTCCTACAATACTAAGAAGCTGCCCTGAGAACAGGCCTGTATGACTCCAGGGCTTCTACCAATATCGTTTAACAAATTATTAAATAATAACAAATACAAATCATAACAAATCATTAAAGAAGAAAACATTTTATTCTGCAGGCTATGTAGAAGCCTACATCAAATAAGTACATAGTATATATCATACAAGAATCATAGCCTCTGCCATGGTCAGCAGGCTCTTAATTATCCACAGCTCAATAACAGAAAAGGGTTTCCTTCTCACCTGCAGTAGAGTCAACATTCTCCCAGGCAGCTGCTCCCCCAAGCACATCATCCACTTCTTTCAGCTTTGGATACTTCCGATTTGTTACCTAACAAACAAAAACAAACCTTCAGACTTCAAGTAATTGGATGATACAAACCTGGGCTATCAAGTCAAAACTGCCTTCAAGTGTCTCCTAGACTCTTCCATCAACAAAGATTGGAGATATCCCAAATGAAAACAAAGTCCCTGCTCTCACAGAGTGGCAGAATTCATTGGAATTTACAAGATCCATGATTGGGTTGTCCCCCAAGTAGAACACAGAGATTCAGCTGTCAGAGCTTCCCTACAACAAAGACTGGGCCAGGCACAGTGGCTTATGTCTGTATTCCCAGCCCTTTGGGAGTCCAAGGCAGGGGAGTGACTGGAGCCTAGGTGTTCAAAGTTACAGTGAGCTATGATCCCACCATTGCACTCCAGCCTGGGTGACAGAGTGAGACCTTACTGGTGCATCTCTTGCTGATATAATGGCCAAGAGGAATCAGAAACCTGAAGTTAGAAAGGCTCAACAAGAACAAGCTATCAGGGCTGCTAAGGAAGCAAAAAAGGCTAAGCAAGCATCTAAAAAGACTGCCATGGCTACTGCTAAGGCGCCCACAAAGGCAGCACCTAAGCAAAAGATTGTGAAACCCGTAAAGGTTTCTACTCCCCAAGTTGGTGGAAAACACTAAGTTGGCAGATTTGATATTTAAATAAAGATCTGACCATAAAAATAAATAAATAAAGTCTCTACAAAGATTGGAGAAAGCACTACACTAAGTATCCCAACCACTAATCCCCAGACAGAGAACTTTCAAAATAGGTCACACATGACTTCTTTCATGAGTTTCATCAGATAGCCTTGAAATTTCAAGAGTTCACTCTGCCCATAGTTTCAGACTCTAAACACACACAACACAACCGCAAGGTGGAGTAGTACGCAAACATTAAGAATGAGGTAGCACCAGCAGGGCTCAGTGGCTCAGCCTGTAATCCCAGCGCTTTAGGAGGCTGAGATGAGTGGATTGCATGAGCCCGTGGGTTCGAGACCCACCCAGGCAACTTGGCGAGACTGCATATCTACAATAAATCAAAAAAATTAGCCGGGTGTGGTAGCACGCATCTGTAGTTTCAGCTACTTGGAAGGCTGAGGTGGAAAGATCGCGGAGCCCAGAAGGTCGAGGCTGCAGTGGCCGGAAGCGGCCACTGCACTCCAGCCTGGGTGACAGAGTGAGACTCCAATTCAAAAAAAAAAAAGAATGAGGTAGCACCAATATGCTCTAACTTCCAAAAATGAAAGGTATTCTAAAAAGTAAAGATGTATAATCAAGGGAAAATAACATATTATAATAATACAGTGTATATTATTTGCTAATTGAACACCTACTGCATTCTAGGTTTTATTTTAAGTATTCAGAATAGAACACAGAAGGAAGCAAAACAGAAAAACCCCTGCCCTCCTAGACCTTATGGCCTAATTTAAATAAAGCACATAAGAGAAGTACATGATATATTAAAAGGTAATGAGTCCTCTGGAAAAAACACAAGGAAGGAGGGAGGATACATTGGAAGGAGAGAATGTAATTTAAAATAGGAGAATCGTATAAATATTAAGACAAGACAGGCCGGGCACGGTGGCTCAAGCACTTTGGGAGGCCAAGATGAGAGGATTGCCTGAGCACACGGGTTCAAGACCAACCTGGGCAACTTGGTGAGATCTCATCTCTACAATAAATCAAAAAATTAGCCAGGCATGGTAGCCCGCGCCTGTAGTTCCAGCTACTTGGAAGGCTGAGGCGGAAGGATCGCCAGAGCCCAGCAGGTCGAGGCTGCGGTAGCCATGAGCGTGCCACTGCACTCCAGCCTGAGCAAGAGTGACATTCCGACCCTCCCCCCCAAAAAAATCCAAGACGGAATAGGTAGCTATCTAGGGGAAGAAAGAACCTGACAAAATAATATGTCCAAAGGCCCTCGTGGCACCATGTGTGCAATGGGACCTCCTCCAGGAGGCCGGTGTTATTGGGCGAAAGAGCAACAGGAAGAGCATCAGGACTCAAGATCGGAAAAGCAAGTTTGAAAAGGGTCAGTGTCAGAGCCGGGTCAGCTCTGGGAGAACTCTGGCATTTACTCTGAGTGCGTTGGGACTCCGCTGAGGGTTCTTGGGCACAGCACGAACTCTATCTGACGAGGCTTTAACAATCTCTCTCTGGCCACTGTTTCGAACACAGCGAAGGGTGCAGGCGCGGGAGCAGGAGGCTCGACGAGGACGTGAGCGCAAGAGCCCAGGGAAGGTGACCGCAATAATCCAGGGGAAGTGGACACAGTAGCCCAGGGGCGGTAGCTGCAATAGCTCGGGGGGAGTGACCGCGGTGAGCGCGGTGGGGAAGGCGAGCTACGGCCTGGCCGTGGGGTGAGAAACGGCTGAATTCCGGGCGAATTCGAAGTTAAGACCCGCAGGCCCTGCCGCCGACCTACAGGCGTGACAGAGAAAGAGCGGACAGAGGCCGATGCCGTGGCCGGTGGGATCATCCTGCCGTCGGGTGGAGCAAGAGGCCCGCGAGAGGCGCCCGCGGCCGGCGCCGGCCCCGGGATCCCACCTTGCGAGTGATGTTGTGCACATAGGGGCACGTGTTGCAGGCGAAGCGGTGGCAGCGCTGTCCCTCTTCTACGATCAGCCCGTTCCCGCAGCCGGGACAGAAGAGCAGCATCGCCCCCGACGCCCGCAGGTTCCGGGTCTCGGCGGCTCCCCCCGGAGCCGCGGTGGCCGCTGGGCGGTGACGTGCCGTCCGCCCGAGCTCCCATTGGCCCTAGCAGACGTCCCGCCCCCACCCAACCAACAGACCCGCCGACTTTGCGCCCCAGCCAGCCCCGCGGGAGGCGGTCCCGCACTTCTTGTTGGCCCTGGCGGTCGCCCGTCCCCGCGGCGCACCAGTGGCTGAGCTGGCTCGCCGGGGCGGGCCGCAGCTCCTGCGCGTGCGCGCTTCTCCTCTCACGCGCGGTCCGGGGCCCGCCGAGGGCGGCTGCTGCCGGCGGCCCTGGAGGCGGCGGAGGCGGTGAGCCGGTCCGAGGCCCAGGAGGACGATGAGGACGAGGAAGAGGCGCTGCCGCACTCCGAAGCGGTGGACGTGTTCCAGGAGGGTCTCGCCATGGTGGTGCAGGACCCGCTGCTCTGCGATCTGCCCATCCAGGTGCGCGCGGGCTGGGAGGGCGGGGCTGGGGAGGCGGCTGGGCCCTGAAGGTGGCAAATGGCGCGCGGACGCATCCCGGAGGTACCGATGAGGGGCGCGGGCCGACCCCGGAGCTGCTCGTGGGGGCGCGGGCGAACTTGAAGGTGCTGATTGGAGCGCGAATTGCCCCGAAGGTGCCCATGGGGGGCGCGGGCCGACCTCTAAGGTGCTGCTGGGGGCGCGGGCGAACCTGAAGGTGCTGATGAAGGCGCGGCCGAGGGCCTGGGCGTAACCAAGAGCCCTAACCTGGGCCGGACCTTGGGTAGGGCTAGCCAGGCACCCGCCGAGGCCACGGAATTTAAAGGAGCACTAGAAATCTCTCTAGTCGGGATAAATAACATAAATCTAATATTCTTGGAAGTTAGTGGCCGGGTGTCGTGACTCACGCCTGTAATCCCAGCACTTTGGGAGACCAAGACGGCAGGATCACTTGCAGCCAGAAGTTTGAGATAAACCTGAACATAGCAAGAACCCGACTCTTAAAAAAAAAAAATTTTTTTTTGGAGTCGGAGTCTGTCGCCCGGCTGGAGTGCAATGGTATGCTCACAGCCACCACAGCCTCGACCTCCTGGGCTCAGGCGATCCTTCCGCCTCCGCCCTCCAAGCAGCGGGAACTAGACATGCGCTACCACACCCGGCTAATTTTTTGATATACTTGAGAGAGGAGGTCTCACCAAGTTGCCCAGGCTGGTCTCGAACCCGTGGGTTCAGGCAATCCTCTCGCCTCTGCCTCCCAAAGTGCTGGGGTTACAGGCATGAGCCACGGCACCCAGCCTATTTTGTTTATTAAATAAATAAATAAAAATGATTTATTTAAATAAATAAATAAAAATGATTTATTTAAATAAATAAATAAAATAAATTCTGAGGGGAACTCAGAAGCTCTTTCAAGCTCTGTTCTGTTGGGTAGGGTAAGTCTGTGGCTACCCCAGAACCTCGGGCATGGCCTGTGAGTTTCTCTCTCACCAGCCCTGCTAACATCTTCCTCCCTGTGATAGCACAGGCCATGTAGCCTCAAGGGTGGATGGTGGCTGGGTGGCTCAGCCTGTAATCCCAGCACTTTGGGAGGCCGAGGCGAGAGAATTGCCTGAGCCTGCGGGTTCAAGACCAGCCCGGGCAACTTGGTGAGGGCTTGTCTCTACAGTATATCAAAAAATTAGCTGGACGTGGTAGGGCAGGCCTGGAGTTCCAGCTATGTGGATGGATGAGGCTAAAGAATCGCCTGAACAGGTTGAGGCTGGGGTAGCCATGAGTGTGCCACCACACTCCAGCCTGGGCAACAGAGAGAGATTCTGACTCAAAAAATAATAATAAATAAATAAATAAAATATCAATAATCATTGATGTTTTTTGGGTGCCCTGGTAGATTTTGCGCATCCACCTTAACCAGGTCATAGGGCTCTGGCCTGGATCCTAGTGATCAGAGACTCTCAGCGTGAACTGACAGGCCATGTGTGCCCTGATCCAGCCCCTGGGGGTGATCCTTACGTGAATTCACCTGCCTGTTGGCTTGCACCTCTTTCCCGAGAGACTCTGGACACTTTGGAGATTAAAAATGTAGGTGGACCATGAGACTGGGATGCTGTAAAAGTGGGAAACCCTAACAGATAGGCAAGAGCCCCTTCTCTTCCTTGCCCCTCATAAAATGGAGCACCACTTTTTGGTCACTATCAGCTTGTTCTTCCTTGTTGTTGTTTAGGGTTCCCACTACCACTTTTGTTTTTTTCTAGGTTACTTTGGAAGAGGTCAATTCCCAAATAGCATTGGAGTATGGCCAAGCAATGACAGTCCGAGTGTGCAAGATGGATGGAGAAGTCATGCGTAAGTGCCACCCTCCACCACTGACGCCACATGGCCTGTGCTTTCATAGGGAGGAAGATGTTAGCAGGGCTGGTCAGTGAGAAACTCACAGACCATACCCACGGTGCTGGGGTAGCCACAGACCTTCCCTACCCAACAGAACAGAGCTTCTGAGTTCCTGAGGCTGTGGCTGTGGGTTCCCACCGTGGATCTTCTCCTATCCGTGTCCATTCACAGCCGTGGTTGTAGTACAGAATGCCACAGTCCTGGACCTGAAGAAGGCCATTCAGAGATACGTGCAGCTCAAGCAAGAGCGTGAAGGGGGCATTCAGCACATCAGCTGGTAAGCAGAGCAGCAGCTCCATCCTTGTAGCCCCTTCTGGGACTGGTGCGGCACTACAGGGAAGTAGCTCCCAGCTCCATGTGAGAATATCACCACTGAAGTGATGAGGGTTCTGACAGGGTGGGTGCTGTGCCTGGGACCCCTGCCTTAGCTATTCTTTCTAGACATATTGGCTCCTTCATCTACATTACCCCTCTCAAGGGGGAATGGATATCTATGCTTGGGAACACCTGAGGGCATTTTCAGTGTGTCTAAAAGTGGCCTCCCTAGTTATGGATGGTGCACCTGCCAGTGGCTCCCATCTCCTCCTTACCTGGATGCTGTCAGCCTTCACTCCTATTGGCTCAAGGGTCCTGTTAACTGAGTCTTAGCACTATCACCTACTGCATTAGCAAGATATGTTTGGCCTACCCACCCCATACAGCCCTTTGAGAGCAGTGCCTCCTTGCAGCTGCCTCGAGCCTGATGCACACATTGTACAGGAGAAAAGCCCAGAAGGGAGGACAACTTCATCAGGCCCCATAGGGCCAGATACCACAAGCCCCCGTCTTGGACAGCCACTGACCTCACTCTGCTTGGGGCCTGTGGTTTACCTGAGCCCCTCTGTACAGGTCCTATGTGTGGAGAACATATCATCTGACCTCCGCAGGAGAGAAGCTCACAGAAGACAGGAAGAAGCTTCGAGAGTAAGTGCAGGCCACATCTTGAACCCTCTAGTCCCCCATGCTGCAGGAGGCTGCAGCCCCCTCCTGGGAGGCAATACCTACAAGCAGCTTTCTTGGGGCCCTCCCCACTAGGAGAGTGGCAGGCAGAGCAGCAGCCAGAAGTCCTGCTGTCAGGGCTGCACAAGCAGGAGGAAGAAGATGAGAGTGGGCATGGAAGTCAAGAGGCTGCCCTACCACAGGGACCAGTGCCGTGTGCATCTTTGGGAGGATGGCCACTGCCACCTCCTGGCCTTTCTGGATGCCACACTCATCCCCACCTGTTGTTTTGCTTGGTCCCTCACAGGCTTCAGGTGGGTAGTCACAGATGTCTACGTTTGTAGGTCAGACATCATACACCTTTCCTTCTTTTTCAGTTATGGCATCCGCAATCGGGATGAGGTTTCCTTTATCAAAAAGCTGAGGCAAAAGTGAAGCTCCAGATAACAACAGCTCTATTCACTGGTGGTCAAGCCTCTCCCTAGCAGGATGGAGTCCTCGAGTCATTGTTCCCCTTTCACAGAAAGGATGTCAAGGTGTCTTCACCCCAGGTGTGTCCAGTGGAAACTCAGCATGAACCTTGAGGCCCTCAGGACTAAGACAGAGTGAACCAATGCACCATTCTTTCCTGTGTACTTGGCCTGAGACTAACCAGAATAAACCTGTTTGCTTCTTAATTTGAAAAGTCAAAAAGCCAGAGTACCCTGGGTAGGAGGGTCTGAGGCTGCTTTATCACAGAGCAGAAGTGAGGGGAGAGAACTGGTGCAGGAAGGTACTAAAGTCCAAGATGCCACACCTGAGCCCTGTGGCCACACCACTCCCCAAATCACACAACTATTGCCATGATTTCCACAGCAAGGAGGGAATAAAAGTAGAGCAGCTAGCATTCTGTTTCTATTTGTGGGGAAACAAAGGCCTATGTTCTTGAGCTTACAGGGGAAGCGAACGTGTAGTGTAGACTCGGATGGGCCGTCAGCCTCAGCCCCAGCCCATAGAGTTCACCTGCAGCGGTGCCTTCACCAGGCTCTGGAGAAGGGAAGGCGGCATGTGGTGGAGACTGGTGCTGCTAGGCATGGGGGGGCAAAGTGACAGCACATCCCTAGGTCCTTGTCACAGCATCAGCTACCAGCCACTCTGGGAGGGAAGCTAGGTGTGCCTACCTGACCAGAGCACTTCATTGGGAGGCGAAAGAGCTGGTGGCTGCAACAGACACTTAGTTTCCTGCCCTGGGCAATTGTGAGTTGGAGGCCAGGGGCCAGCAGGACCTCCCTCCACAGCCCCCAGCCAGAAACCAAGCATGAAGAAGCCCTGGTCAAGTTAGTGGCAGCTAAAACGCTCCCGGTCCATTTATTGGCCACACGAGGTGGTCGTCAAGAGACTAGTTAGAAGGTTATCACAGGAACTCATGTAGGAAATGCCCAGCAGTATGGGGTTCAACAGAAGTGAACAAGGCACAAGAGGTCTGCATATAGGCAGCAGGCCAGTCCCCACGTGCAGCGGGTGAGTCCACAGGCCTTTGAGGCTAAGGATGGCGCCATGGCTGTCTGGCTGGCTGTGGCCACGCTGGTGCCTGTTGCTGCTGGTATCTGTGGCCTGCTCAGTGGAGCTGGGCATCCAGTTCATACTTCTCACAGAACTTGTCAGTGAAGGGGATGCAGGTGAGGAACTCGCACCACTCACAGCGCACAGGATAGAAGTAGAAAAGGACTACCAGGCCAGCCAGGAGGCCCAAGAAGACCACCTGAAAGACGATGATCTGGCAGCGCTTGCGGTACAGGTCAAACTTGCCGAAGCTGATGTAGGGCAGGAAGGCAAAGGAGAGGAAGAGGCCACTGATGAAGCCCGAGATGTGGGCGAAGTTGTCGATCCAGGGCAGCAGCCCAAAGGTGAAGAGGAAGAGCACCACAGCTAGCAGCTTGAAGAAGGCGCGCCAGGGCCGTGCCAGGATCTGCCAGCTCTGGAAGAGCTCCACAAAGAGGCAGGCTAGGATGCCAAACTGTGAGCCAGCCGGGCCCACCTGTGAGTGATATAGGTGGCTGTGAGTCAGATGGTCTGAGCAGGCCCCCTGGGCCCAAGGCCTCATCTCCCACTTCCCAGGGCCCAGGGCGAGTCAGGACCAAGGAGCTAAGTGGATCTGCTCCCAGGGTGGGCACTGTGGAGATGCATTCGCACCAGGCCCCTGGTACACATGGGAAGGTCCCCACCCTGCGGGCAACCTTACCTCTGCCCGGTAGGGCAGAAAGATAGCACTGGCCAAGTTGCCAGTGACACCACTCAGCAAGTAGATGATGGCAATGCGGTGCCAGCCTGCCAGCTTCTCCAGGTCCCTCAGGACAGTCATCTGGAAGCACACGGACACCAGGCAGTGCAGGATCCTGTGGGCAGAGGTGGGTGGAAGTGGGGAAGCACTCAGGAGGAAAAGTGACTTCTCTGCCCCTCAACCGGTCGCTCCTCCTGGGATCCCCGAGGCCACCCAGTCAGCCCACAGTGTCACTTGCCCTGCGTGCAGGAAGAGGGACAGCCACAGGCGGTAGAACTGGTCAGGCACCTCAGGGTTGAGGAAAGGTAGGAGCCCACACACGTCATCCATGCAGTGCACCTGTGCAGAATGGCACATCAGCAGCCACAGTTGCTGGGGGAGGGGAAGGATGCTAATCCCGAAGGGTTACCTGAGAGCAGAGTGTGGCCTCCTCGTGGAAGTAGCCCCTCATGAAGTCACAGTACTCCCGGGAGGTGATCTCACACCTGGAAGTTCAGGCCAGGGCTTGGTGGAAGGTGCCACTCTAGAAGGGGACTGCTGGGGCCCAGGGGTGGGTTTCAGCCCCACCTGTCCACTTTGGCCCTGGGTAAGTCCAGATCCCTTCTCGCCCCATACCCCTTGGCTGCTAGGTCATTTCAGGACTTGGTAAGAAGAGCACAGCCCAGGAAACAGCTGCACCACACACAGGCACTCCCACACCTACCTGCCCTTGGTGCCGATGCAGCAGGGTCTGCCCGTGATGACACAGTCCATGTGAGGATGGTTGGTGTGGTTCCCAGCACTGTTTTTGGTGCAGATCTGGGTCGCAAATAGGGACACCCTGGGTCAGGGCCTCCCCAACCCTCTGCCCCACACACCTTCAGGGGTCAAGGCCAAGACAGGCAGGTTCATAAGGTAGAAGGCAGGCCTTCCTCGGTGGCAAGCAGACCACCACACCCTGAGCCTCAGCAGAGCCATCAGCCAAGCTGGAATGGTGGCATTTGGCCTACCACGTCTCCTAGTTCTCTTGCTTTGACCACATGCTCAGAGGGGCAGGCAGTGGCGTGGCATCTGAAAACAGTTGGTCCCACCACACGAGTATCTGCCATCACAAATGGGTGGGGTGTGGCTTCTTCCCCCTCATGACAAGGGTGACTTCCCAACTCACCGGCCACTTGGTGATGTCTTCTGGCCACTCGTGGGGGTCTTCAGAAGAGGGTTCATCACACACCCTGCATGAGGCAGGCACGTGGTAGGACACTGCTTCAAGCCCCTAGCATCGGTACCTTTCCACCCAACTCACCCTCTCCATCACACCCCCCCAGGAAGGCTGGGCAAAAGCAAGTAAGAGAGTAGTACCAGGACTGACCTGGGATCCTGGTGGCAGACAGAACCAAACTGTCTCTTGTGGCCAGCAAGGTCTGGGGCACTGGGATGGATGGGCCACTTCACCCACACTGCCAGCGTGGACTGAGGATGGGGACAAAGCCTCTGGTCAGCCCTCCCCTTGCTCAGTTCAGTCAGGGCAACATGGGGGCTAAAGGAGTCAGGAATCAAAGACAAAGCCCCTGAGGCCTACTCTCCAATGTGACTACTTAGCCTCTATAAATTAGCACTCCTGAAATGCACACCCATTTCTTACAGGTTCAGCAGCATAATTCCTATTAGCTTAAAATTGGAAACAACCTCTGTATCCTAAATCATGGAACTGGCATAAACTATGACACTTATGTATAAGATAATGTTATAAAAGCTTGGATGAGTTTTTTTTTTGAGTTGGAGTCTCACACTGTCGCTCAAGCTGGAGTGCAGTGGCACGCTCACGGCCACTGCAGCCTCAACCTGCTAGGCTAAGGCGATCCTTCTACCTCAGCCTTCCAAGTAGCTGGAACTACAGGCATGCGCCACCACGCCCAGGAAATGTTTTGAATTGTTGTATAGATGAGGTCTTGCCAAATTGCCCAGGCTGTTCTCGAACCCCTGGGCTCATCAGGCAATCCTCTCACCTTGGCCTCCCAAAGTGCTAGGATTATAGGCGTGAGTCACTGCACCCAGCCTGGATGAATCTTTTTTTTTTTAAACTGCTGCTCGGTGGCTCAACCTGTGATCCCGTGCCTTTGGGAGGCTGAAGTGAGTGGATTGCCTGAGCCCATGGGTTCGAGACCCGCCTGGGCAGGTGAGACCTCATCTCTACAATAAAATCAAAAAATCAGCCGGGTGTGGTAGTGCGCCTGTAATTCTGGCTACTCGGAAGGCTGAGGCGGAAGGATCGCCGGAGCCCAGCAGGTCGAGGATGTGGTGCCCGGGAGCGGCCACTGCACTCCAGTCTGGGTGACAGAGTGAGACTCCAACTCAAAAAAAAAACTGCTTAGGGGACAAGACACATGCTGAAAAAGTGCGCCAAATTAAGAAAAAAAAATCATCTGTGGGGCCAGGAAATGGAGAAAGATGGGATCGGAAAGAAAGGTACGATGTGCCAAAGATGAGAGTAAAACACAACTCGGCTAGCTGGGCCTATCTGAAGTCCCACGGTAACAGCGAACACGCACAGCACAGAGAGGGCGGGATCCGCGAGAGGAAACGCACCGAGCACTCCTCCTCGGAGGTCTGCACGCAGCCCGACCGGTCGTTGCGCACGCAGCAGGCTGAGTGCTTCTCGCGCTCGCGCGCTGCGCGAATGAAGCTGTGCACCTGCGGGTCTTGGCGCATGCAGGGCGAGAACTTGGCGCCCAGGTGGATGAGGGCCTCCTGCGTGGGTGAGGAACATGCAGCCGCGCCCCGACAGCCCGCCCGCCGCGCTCCGCCCCCCGCCGCGCTCCGCCCCCCGCCCTCACCGAGCTGGGCCCGATCCAGAAGTTCTCCTGCTGCACGTACTTGACGTTCTCGTAGACCCCGCGGTTCCGCAGCACCTGCGAGGTGGGGGGCCGGATCAGACAGGCCCACTCGGGCCCGTCCTCAGAGCAGGGCAGGAGCGGGTCCCGAACTCGGACTCACTCCTCGGGGCCCAGGAGGGCGCGGAGACTCACCGAGTCCACCGTCTCGTGCTGCGAGAAGCCCACGGGCGCGATGCCGTAGATGCACACGGCCAGCACAGTGACAAGCGAGTGCACGAAGGTGAGCCAGTAGGTGAAGAAGGGCCTGCGGGTCGCAGCGTCAGCGGAGCGTCCCCAGCCGGGCCCCACCCCCGCCCGGGCGCCCCCCGCCCAGCCCCCCTCACACCTGTGGTCATCCATGTCCTCGATCTGGCGCCTGACGTAGCTGTCGATGCGCTTGCGGTAGGTGCGGTTGGTGAGCCGGCCCACCATGCCCAGCCCGTACGGCCGTTTCTCCCTGGCGAAGAGCTTGCGCACGGGCACCGCGATGCGCTGGCCCCGCCGGGGCCCGGCCGCGCTCACCACCTCCTGCCGCAGCCGCACCTTGGGCTGCGGGGCCACGCCCTCCTTCTG